AACTGAAAACCTGGCCGGAGACAGAGCTCTCAATAATACCTGAGGGCGAACTGCCTAAACAAGCGGCAGAGTCACAAGGTAGACGACTACCCACTACCTTAAATATAAACAACAAATTCACCGCCGATAACTATGAAACAGCAACTGCGTTGCTTAATCACTACTATCCCCCTGATCTGCCCGACACTGATCCCCGTCACCAAGAGCTAATGACCCACCTGGATGATGCATTAGACACGAAGGATGAGCCACCATTCACTTTTTTTTTACAGGGTGGTCCCTGAATCCCTCCCATAGGCTTGGGACTGGGCTCCCCCTCAGCCATTCATTCCATCGGCATGAATGGCTGGGGGGTAAGAAAAACTAAAAAAGTAAAGTAAAATGGATGAAAAATGATCTAAGATCTACCTAAAGTCAACATCGCGGCATGCCGGGATCACTCCCCGAAGTTACTTGCAACATAAAAGGACTGTTGAACTTCCTCGGGGAGATTTCATGACTCGAATAATTACATTATTCCTGTCCACACGCAAAATACGAGTTTAGACGTGGAGTTGCGGAAAACAGCCCGTCGTAAACTAAACTACCTAAAGTCAAGAAAAGCTAAACACCTCAGCTATTTTGTGCATAGAGTCAGAACTCAAAATGAATGAACAAGATTTTATGCGACGATTAATGATTATTTAGCGAATAGAAAATTACGCAAAAAGGAATTTTAAAACTTTATACTTGTATCGCAATAAAAACTATTTAATAACGTTTAACATTTAAGTAGTATTAAGGTGTACCTTACCCCGCCTTATTAGAAGCACAAGATTGAGCTTTTGTTAGCTCAGAAATATAGCCAAAAGCTATTTCTTGTGCAATCTTAACTAAATCGTTGAGTTGTAAAGATAATCTGGGAACTGACACATCGATTTACTAGTTCACAATAATTATATTAATGACGAGAAAAGGGTGGTGTAATTAGAACGATAATGCACAAATCATGAAGTTACAATTTCCTTGACATAAAAATTGTAATTAAATATGATTGTGAACTAGTGCATCGAATTGTAGAAGATCGGTAGAGGCGGCAAAATTAGAATAGCCTACTGGCGGCAAATGTGTAAATCCGCCATTGCGTCTAATACTTTAAAAATTCGAGTAATGAGTACTGTCGTGGCAGCAACGCGGCACGCAACATCGACGACGTTTACCGAGCGAATACTACAAACGATACTACACTTGTTATTGCTTTGCCCGCTTCTCTTCTGGAAATTTCGACATGAAAAATGAACCCCGTGGTCGTACGAAAACTTCTCGACAATGACGAATTAAAGGCAGTTAGCATCAAAACAATATTGATCCATTTGCGTCAAATTCGCAAGATAAAAAAGTATGACAAAGTAGTGCCCCACGAACTCAATTATCGCTAGCGCGAAGTACGTGTCGAAACGTGCCTTAAACTGCTCAACAGGCACACAAACGAAGGATTTTTTTTATTATTTTAATTTCGCGACTGAACACGTAATCCTGAGACATGTTGCCGACAAGAAACTTATCAACCAAGTGTATATGGCATTAGCTCAACCAGGGGTGTCACTTCCACTATGGAAGGTATGGAGCACTCCATACCTCAAGTTTTTCAAGGTATGGAATTCCATAGCTGAAATTAGGAAATAAATCGCATATTACTACAAACCCCATATAAATAAATCGCAAGCCCTTAAACCTCAATACCCCACATCTTATAGTTCAATAAATAAGTTGAGTATATACACTGCAAACTCTTAAACCTTAATACCCCACGAGTAATGCGAACAAATTTGAAAATCGCGCCACCATTTTCCATACCTCAGATTTTTACAAAGTGACACGCCTGAGCTCAACCCATATTAACTTACTGTCTGACAGTTTGGGGAGGGGCTCTAAAAACTAAATTTCTCGTGGTTGAACGGGCTCAAAGAGCGTTACTAAAGTAATTTGCAACACAAGCTCTATATTCGGTTGCTGATATCCTAACAATTAGGAAACTATATATTCTCCATACTGTAATAAAAAAACACGTCATTAAAATTTGATCCGAGCATATTGCATAAAAGAAGACAATAATGTGGCCACAGTTAAACTTACTCATACTCAATTTGCAAGAAATCAATTTCAGTATTTGTCGTCGTTATTATACAACCGCTCCAATCAAAATTTAAATCTATATCCAGTGACGAGCAGGGAATGTAATATAAATTTGACTGCTTGGCTTAAAAAACGACAATACGCAGAAACTGAACTTCATCTTAAATGATAAATTTATCTAGGTATTGGATATTTTGCTCACACACACACACACAGAAAGTTGGTTGGATCCTAGTTCAGCATCTAAACAATGCTGTAAACGAAAACTTATCCCTAGAAAAGTTATGGTCACTGTTTGGTGTTCTAGCGCAGTTGTAATTCATTTAGGGTTGCCATCTAAAATGAAAAAGCCGGACTCTGCGCTCCAAAAAGCCGGACTTTTGGCCCTAAAAGCCGGACAGTAATTTTTAGCCAAACATAACCTTCTGAGGCCATGCAGCCAAACTCACCAACTCCAACCCCCCGAGAAAAAAAACTAAAATACTGTAACGGAGTATTTTAGTTTTTTTTTATATATATACGTTGTTTTTTAATCAATCACAACACAGTTTCAAGTGTAACGTTACTTATTTATTTATTATGCAAGCGATGCGTGCAACGCGTTACACTAACAAAAGCCGGACAGGACGGACACATAAAAATTTGCCGAAAAAGCCAAACATGTCCGGCTAAAGCCGGACAGATGGCAACCCTAGATTCATCACAGCTTCTTACCAAACGGTTTGACCATTACTGTAGATGTGTACTGTGAAAAACTGAACACAACGATGGAGACGTCTCCAACCAGCTTTTGTCAATTGCTCGTCTCCGCTGCTCCTGCACGCAACGCGCGACCTCATACTACATAACAGGCGGTCTCCAAGTTACAAGAGCTAGGGTTGAAAGCTCTCCGTCATCCGCCGTTCTCACCAGACCGCGCCTACAGACTTGTACTTTTTCCAAATTTTGGATAACTTTTTGGCTGAAAAAAAAATTCAATACCCGAGAGGCAATACAAAACGCCTTTGAAGAATTTGTTGCCTCCCGTCTAGCTGATTTCTCGATGAAGGGCATCAATAAACTGCCAATGCGTTGGCAAAGATGCATCCATTGCATGGGTGATTATTTTGTTTAATAGAAATAAACAATATAAAAAAAATTACGTTAACTTATTTCGTAAAAACGGCAATTTCATGGGTAAAGATGTAATATTGTGCATTGTTGCTATAAACTATAATTGTGTATTGTATGTATTGTACATATTATGTATTGTACGCTATCTACTACTAAGAGTTATCAACAATACGGCCAGTCGTAATTCTTTTTTATCATTTCGACGTTAACTCAGTTTTTATTATTATTCAGTGATTGAACAAAGTCTGCTTACTTTATTATGTACGATTTTTTTTTATAGAAGGGTTACAAACTAGTACAAAGTCCCCCTGATAATAAGTATAGCCAACCATAGACAACTAATTTTATTTTCAATCTATACAAATAAATAAAATTGTATGTTACTGTTTGTAATGTTAAAACAATAGCTTTTTACTAAACGCATATAAAAGTATATACGGTACTAATTACAAAACAACACTTTTTAAAATTTTTGTCTTTCTGTCTGTCTATTTATTCCGGCTAATGGCAATGGCAAATAGATGATATTATAAGAAGTAACTGAGGATACTTTTATTTTAGAAAAGTAATTAGGGTACCGCGCAAAAAAATTAAAACCTATGAAATCGTAGTAAATTCCACGCAGACGAAGTCGCGGGGTATAGCTAGTTAAAACATAAAACACAAACTGGAAATGGGTTGTCAGTTGTCACCTAAATTCTCCTCAGGTTCTCGTAACTCACCATACAAAACAGCAACTGCTAAGCTGGCCATTCTGGGTGCACCCTAAATCTGGAAAAAAGAAGAAACAAATTACCTTTTATTTCATTATCAGGTAACTTCATCTCTTGTGTTTGTGACGGTTTGATGAAGTTCTTCAATGATGTAAGAAATAAAAAGTGAAAACTGATGCATTTTAAATTCCTTATTCTCTGATTGAGAGGGATTAAAAATAAGTAATTAAATAAATTTGTACAATTTTTAGAATTGTCTATCTGTTTGTTTATGAATGTATCACGTCTAAAGTACAAATAATGAAATAAAATGTGACAAAATATATTTAACTTTCTTGATAGACATAGTTAAATAATAATTAAACAATAAAGACAAAGATGAATTTCATATAAAAGCACATTCGATATTAGAAAAATGTGAATTTTAAATTAATTCTTATTAAAACATCTATTCTATTCTATATCAGGCTTTCTGAAACTTATTAGCTCTAATAAATTTCCAAGACACTGTGAACACCTACCTGCCTAAAGGCTAAAATATAGTTTTGTATGAAAAATATAGTCACAAAGAGCAATATATATATTGTTAATTAGTGTGGTAGCATATCATTCTTCTTTTATTTTTACTCATGTAGGCAGTGAAATGTTACAAGAAAATGTGACTTTTTGTTTTTAAATACCATACTAAATGTCTCCACTACATTGATAATGTTTCACTACAATTAACTTCATATATATATTTTTCATTTACAAAACAGTAAACATTCCATATTTTTAATATTTAATCTTGTTAAAAAACCAGAATGAATGTGATTTGCTTCGGGAGGAAATAAGGTAAGAATTTCAAATTGAAACAACTTTTTAAGACAAGTAAATAAACGGAACAATAAAATTTTATTAAATATTGAACCATGACAAAATGTGTAGTTCTATGTGAACACATGAAATATTTAAAGCAGATCAGTATTAGGCTGTTGACGATAACAGTAATTATACTGTTTTTAGTTAGTATTTTTAAATTTCATACCCACTGCAACAATAAATTTCCAGCAAAATAACTTAATCATCAAAATTCTGGGATAAAAGAAAATTTGCTGCAAGATTTTCATTTTTTTCACATGCAAAATATGCTTGAATAACCATATGTTCTGGAAAGCCAAGTGCTTTTAACCGTTCAATAGCTTCTTTGTCTTGGGGTGAAATCTGAATAACATTTTGTGGTGGTTGTGGAAGTTGGTTATCAGCCACACTCTCTTCAGCAGCTGCTCCTCCAGATGGTGGATTGACAGGCTCATTAAGCATTCTCACAAAAGCTTGCTGGTGTTGGCTGATAGCTTGCAAAAGTGCAGGATTTGTCTGTCCTATCTGCTGCAGAACAGTATTCAACAAACTTGGATTCTGTTGAATTACTGCACGCATTTGTTGAAACTGAGGCTGATCACGTAAGAAAGCCAAGGGATCATCATCAGAACTTTCTTCTGCTTCCTGTTCTTGAAGCAACTCTTCAGGTATGCCAGTGATTAAATATTCTACAGCTCGTTCTCTATTGTTGAAAGATGCTCTCAAGGCCTGTTCTACTTGCTGTCTGTTGTAACCCATATCCATGATGCTTTGGACAGTTGATTCAAAGTCGAGTTCAGCAGAAGCCACTGGCGTAGTAGGCTCCGGAGTACGTTCAGGCTCAGCTGATACTGGTGGCTTAGGAGCTTCTTCTACAGTACTTTTCTCTTTACTTTCACCAGCTTCAGTCGATGCATGTTCTCCAGCTTCAGGTGTGGAAGTAGACGTTGCTTGTGTTTCACTTGCTTTAGGCTTAGTTACCATTATGACAATAAATTTTTTCTCATCTATGTTATAGGTGCTTATTTTATTATCGTCAAGCAAAATTTTTCCCGCATAAATAAGCCTCTGATAGTCTGCTGCATAGTCTTTACCCTTTTCAACCTCGATTTTAAGTTTGAGTGCTTTTACAGTTTCTTCCGGGTCAATTTCTATTTGGAAAGATAATTGCTGTAGTGTTTTTAATGTCACCAACATTTTGCTATTGTTGCTTCTACTTGTAAAACAAATCACTAGTTATATGATCTGACTCGACAAAATTATAATTAACCAGTAAACATAACCTTGCTATATCGCCTTTTTTAAATGTCATTAATGTTCGGATATGCGCTAGTACTTCTTCAAAGTAGGGATGTCGATGATCATCGATGTTGCCACATGTCAAACATCGAAACATCGATGTCAATAAACCCATAACCGATTTTTGGATACTTGCGAAGATTGCGAACCTGCGAAATCAATATAAAATAATCTTGCAATTCCTCTAAAAAAATTAAAATTTTGAATAATTCAGAATGCTTGAACGCATCGATAACCTAAAAATATATTATTATGGTGTATTAAATTTAAGTGTCAACTGTAATGTCGCAGTTGTCACTGATTTCGTTTTTTTATTGGTGTCGTTGTAGGGTGTTTATTTCTTTGTCGGTTGTTTTTTAAAAAATCCGATGACCTTGCGGTGAGATAATTGACCACAATCACTACATCCACGCCATCTGAGCGGTTATCTACCGACTTCAAAAAGGAGGAGGTACTAAATTCGCCTGAATGTTCTTTTTTTCATAACTTTATTTCTGGGTGAACCGATTTCGATTATCGTTTTTCTGTCCCATATAAGTTTGACCCATATAAGTCTAACCAATAGTTTTTGAGTTATCCTTAATAATTTATATTGAAGTCAGTTGTAAAAAAATGTTATTTTTAAATTATTATCAATAGCTCAACTCTTTATCAACAGAGAAACAGATTGAGAGGTACTTCTTTATCAAAATTACTCTTTCTTCAATCAATCGGCAAAAATATTGGACTGTACAAAAAATGAACTACATATTTGTGAACCTCTTCCAAATTTTTTAATTACTGTTTAACACTATATTGGTTAATAATTTCTAATATTTCATTAATTATAACCCATAAACAACATGACAATTGTTTTATTCGTGTAATTCAAACCTATTAAATACATGTCGCCGTCTCCGACGAACACTATCGTTATCGCTATTACCATAGAGTCGGGTTTATTGAAGATTCGTTATTTACACACCGTAATACATCATTGAGAAATTTTTTATGGCCGGGCGACGAATACTTTTCGATTTATCCATTCAATAATGATCTTTATGTTGCTGTTCAACGGATAACATAATAGAACAATCGAGTCGATTAATAACGCGAAAACTTATTACCAAATCTTATGAGTAAAGATTTTAGAGTAAGCATTATTACCCTATTGTTCGAGTGAAAAATGATAAAGCCGTTCCCGGTAAGCGTCAACACAATATCGTTCGGATGATCACACACCTTCATATTTACCGTATAATCAAGATTATAGAGGTGAAACGGAGGACGTAATTACAACAGAAGAAATCCATAGAGATTATCAGTCAGAAGAAAAGAAACTCAGTAGAAAACGCCGTCGAAACGAGAGTGAGTGAAAAGACAATAAAAACAAAAAATGAAGGATTCTGGAAAAAGCTACACAAACAAACGTACAAAAAAGTATATCCAGCAAAAACCATGGGACCTGTATGTTTTTGTAAAAAAAAAATGCAAGAAAAGTTCTCTGAACAGCAGAGGAAAACTATATTTGAAACTTTTTATAAAATGGCTGATCACGAACTACAATGGCAATTTATTAATATACACACAATAGCAAAACCAATAAAGAAAATGACTATAGACAGAAAACAAAGCAGGACCCAAAATATCAATTATAGCTTTCCATTAGATGAGTCAGAAATTACTGTTTGCAAGGTTTATTTTTTAAATACTTTAAAAATATCAGAACAGTTTGTTTCAACAGCATTGGAAAAAACAAAAAAAATAATGAAGGTATGATTGATCAGAGAGGAAGTCACGCGAACAGGCCTCAAAAGATGAGTAACTTGACGAAACAAAGCATAATTGACCACGTTAATTTGTTTCCAGCAGTAGAGTCTCACTACCTCAGAAAATACTCAAAACGGCAATATTCAGAGCAACTTAATATTTCTAAAATGTACCGATTATATGAACTGTGGTTTCCAAACCAAAATTTGCCAGAAGATAGGACCCAGAAGCTACAAAGCGACAGTATGAGTCTGTTTTCAATACAGAATTCAATTACTCTTTCTTTCGGCCAAAAAAGGATCAGTGCCCAACATGTACCCTTTATGACCAAGCAGATAAAGAAAAAAAAACTATACTAGAGGACGCATACAGAAAGCATATAAACAAAAAGGAGACTGTTCGTAACATATAAAACGAAGAAAAGCACAGATGAAAAAAACACTACATTTGCGGCGTTTGATCTGGAAAAAAGTTTTGAGTGTGCCACAGTCCGAAGTGGGCATTTTTTATTATAAACGAAAATATGCAGTTTATAACTTTAATGTGTTTGATTTAATGCGCAAAGCCGGACATTGTTTTGTGTGGCATATGTCTATTGGAAAGAGGGGTTCTATCGAAATTGGTAGTTGTTTATTAAAATTCATCCAGGAAGAACAATTGAGAGGAATCGAAAATTTTTCATTTTATTCTGATGGTTGAAAACAAAAATCGGTTTATATTCGCCCTATACCCGTATATCGTACAAGTTTATTGAGTGAAAACTATAACGCACCAATTTTTTGAGACCGGGCATAGCCAAAATGAAGGTGATAATATGCATTCATGCATAGAGTGGGCTATGAAAAATAAAATACTGTACACTCCAGAACAAGTTTATGGTGTAATTTCAAACGCGAAAATCTCGCATCCAAAATATAAGATCATTGAAATGGAGCAGGTGGATTTCTACGATATAAAAGATCTTATTAATGGAAAGAATTGGTTGAAAGACACCGAAGAACGAAAAATTAAGTGGTCGAAATTGATGGAGGTGAGAGTTTCTCATTTGAAACCAACAATTTTACAGTATAAGTACAAACTCGAAAATGAGCCCTTTGAGTTGAATACTAAATAGACCAAACCGAATAGAGGGCGAAAATCCGTCGCCGACGAGGTACAAACCCTTAAAAATATTTACAACCATCCGTTACCCGTCACCCTGGGCCCTGCTTGATGACCTGAAGTCTGAGGCCATCCCAAAATATTATCACAGTTTTTATAATAATTTAAATTGTGCCGACATCATACCTGAGGAACAAGAAGAAGATTAAAATTAAAATTGGGTTACCTACTTGTAATATTTTTAAATCTTGTTTTTAAATATGTAATAATAATAAATACTTAATGGATATTTTTTTGCATTTTATTTCCCATCGATAACTTATTTTAGTTTTTGTTGGATGTATTAATAATTAAACTGTTACCTATTTACTGTTTTAATAAAACAAAATAAATTCAATTCAAATTCAAAAGATTATAATTTGTAGCACTGTAACTTGTACCTACCTTGTACCTTTAGATTAATGTCATTCGCCTTAACCACTTTCAAACTCGCTAGATTAAATTATAAACTGACAATTTAGGTACATTTTACAGTGTTCCAAATTATAACCGTATAAAATCAATAGGTACATCCAAAAACAAATCCAAAAATTAGTAATGACAATTATTATGGTAGTAATAAAAACCTTTATTTATACATATTTACACAATATTTCATTCTGAAACTAGCGGCCGCTCGCGACTTCGTCCATGTGGGCGGATAAAAAGTAGCCTATGTTTTTAGTTTGACTAACATCTATCTATCAGCTGTGAAAACCGCATTAAAATCCGTTCTGTAGGTTCAGAGATGTGCTGGAACAAACAGGCAGACACGAAACAAAATGTGCATTTTTCTCTTATATTACCTTTATTATGTCGTTCCCTGTTATTTTAGTCCATTATCCTTAGTGTACAGACAAACCTGGTTCCACTAATTTATTATAGTAATAGATAAAAGATTATGACGGTATTAAATTAAATCTTAACTCCTAAAAACGATAATCAAAAAAACATGTAATGTATGTTTACCGTAATATTGAGGTCAGTTACATCATTGAATACAATTGCAATGACGTTATACGAACAGAAAGTACATGCATATTTACCATGGAACAATATCGTAATGCACGATTGCTATAGCCACATCATTTTGTGATTTCCGTCGAACACTATCGTAAAGTTAGTTAGCGGTAACATCCTCCATAATTTATTTCAGTAATGGACATTTTCATGATTTTCTTATTTATAAAGAAAACTTTTTAGAAAATTTTTGTATAATTGTAGTGCCAAAATTTTATTTCCTATTTTTGGTAAAAGAATGTTCTTTCTAGGTTTGATAGTTCTTATGATATTCAGTTTTTATTTGCTCCTGTAAAATTGACATTTTGCTATTACGATTTTGTTCGTCGGGGACGGCGATGTGCAAAAAACATCGATAATGGCCAACATCGATGTTTTGAGTAGGATAAACATCGATGTTGAGCTATCGATGTCAACATCGATGTTTCTACAACATCGAGCATCCCTACTTCAAAGTACTTCTTTACCTAATTTTTGGATATCACAGACTATTAAGATTCATGTATATACAGTATACTTTGAGCTACTAACAGCATTATATTAGTCTGTGGAGGATTAGACTTGCGTAAAAAATAGCGTATCGGATATATTATCGATATTTTCTCATAATCATCGTCGATATTATTAATCGTGATATATCGATATCTATTTTAGAGTATTAATTTCGATATATTTTAAAATGTAACAATGTAAATGGACAAAACATAAAGCAACAAAAGTATCCATGTGCGGTTATCGTTTTTTGTTCGTCGTACAACCATCACTAATTAAATTCTGGGCCTGATCCCAGTACATCATGCAAATGATGACGATACATCGGTATTTATCACGCGATATATATCGATACTGTTTAAAAAATTTATACAATATATATCGATATATTTTTTGCACTTGCTCATCCCTATGATGCTACAGCCACAGTCTGTGGCCCACAGAGTACTTTTTATATACTGCAAGCTATAGCGTTGCTAACTCTACGGTTTTTACCG